TAGATGTTGTCAGAACATGAATCCACCGGATGGTGATCCTCTCAGAGGATTCCTCTGTATGCTTTAACAATTCTTGGAATCGACTGACCCCTTCCAGAGAATGATAACAACAGTGTCGGATTGGCCAGTGACATTCAAATGGTCAGCGAGTACTGTGCCAAGTTGCCAAGCGTCACAACTTAACCCCCCCCCCCTTCCCCACTGTGGCTAGGTGCAAAAGCCGTGTGGAACGGAAATGCTTTTTACTAATGCACCATACGAATGCCCATAAATGCATCACTGAAGGGCTTAGGAAAAGTGGAAGATCTTTGGCATAAAGGATGAGACGTAAACAAACATGTCATGTAAAGTTAAGTGTTCCGAAACTGAAAAGTAAACGGCGCCGGTGGTGTAGTGGTAAGCGTGATTACCTCTCACCCCAGCAGGACTGGGTTCAATCCCAGTCGGCGCCGCCGGGATGTTCTGAGGCATAACATCTCTGATCACGCCTTCCTTCGGATGGGAAGTAAAGCCGTTGGTCCCCGGTTCATGAGTTGATGGGTCAATAGGTAGGGTCCAGGTGTGGGAGCTGCCTTCCTGGCACGTCGGTAGCATTGGTGCTCAGTACGGAAAACAAGATCGACGGAAAAAACAAACCAAAGGAAAAAAAAAAACTGAAAAGTTCGTTACTCGACGAAAAGTACGTTTGATTGAGCTGAATTGTGCGTCTATTATGACTCAATTTTATGTCAAAATTGACATTCGTATATGTCAGTCTCAGAGCACCTAAATTTACATGATTTTTTTCTAATTCTAAGATAGAAAATTAATGATCGAGAAAGGTCCCACCAGGACATCATTGCCATAGTTTTAATTTTCAAAATTTTCAAAATTTACTTACGCATCTGTTCAATTTTAGCTGGAATTTTACCCGTTGTCAGCATAAAGCAAAAACAGACACATTTTACTTTATGAGACAATCATAACAAAACCAATAATTGACAGCTATTTAATTCTACCTATGTGTGTGAATGCACTCGTGAATTAACACACACCGTCATACACGGGTTCGACTTTTGCTCAGAAGAGGCGTTGCCGTTACTGTCTCCAGATTTTTGGCAGAGTTGCCAGTCTTCTTGATTTGTAGTCTTCGATTATACCCAGAACACGTCGTAATAAAAATAACAACAACAATTTTATTAGCGAAATCGTACGGTACGTACGAAAAGCTAAATACATTTAGAAGGCATCTGTAGTGAAAACATTCCATTTTGTGAAATAATCCGCTCGAAAAATAGAGGCGAAGAACGGGTTGTGCTTAGTAGGCCCAAAATTAAATCTAAGTCCTCCATCACATTAGTATATGTTAACTTTTTATTGATAGTACACACTTAAAAAAATTCGCCGAGATTCCAACAGCCGAGTAGTTCTGCAATTAATTTTGCTGAGATTCAGTAAAACAATTGCCGAGACTCAGCTAACAAATATCATTATGCTGATATATCAGCTAACAAACAGATGTTTTGCAGATATATCAGTAAAAGTAAATGCCGAGGTAATCGGCTGTTGGAGATTTTACCGAGCTAGATTAAGTGTGTATACCATAATAAGGGGTTGCCTTAACTTGCGACCTTGACTAGATAGAAGGTAGCTGTCCTGGTCAAAGTTGTTCTGACAAATAAGACCTATTGGATGATCGACAGCTGTTTTCAGAATTCACTCACCAGCTGATGCTACTGTACAATTTTACATCTTACTGCATGCTTTAACTTGACAGTACGACTAGATAGAAGTTTTCTTTTTTCAGAAAAGTTGTGCTGAATTACAAGACCTATCGTATCTCATTCGAAAAAAAGTAAGAGGTTGTATTCAAAACTCGACCGTAGATTTGACGTAGCATTACGTGCTCGGTATCAATATTTGACGACTATGTTAGGGAAACCATTTTTTGTAGGCAATCGGTTATAATTTTAATCACCATTACAACAGTTGGACATTTGTGAAATTTTCAATAGTGACCTATTGAAAACTGATAAAGTATTAATTTTATCAGATTTGTAGAAAAAAATACCAATCGATTGGCTTGTTTAGAATAAAAATCCATCCACTATTGACGGAGTTATAAGTGATCAAAACCTGACCACTTTTCGTAACGCGGTCGATTTTGGTTTTTTAAAATTTCATCCCCAATATGTTGCCGAAAGACGTAATCCTCCATAAAAAATCTCTAACCATTTGATACTAATGGCTTGCTTAAGTCGACATCTCGAAAAGATAGAAGGTTGCCGTCTACATAACCTAAGGTATAGTGGATAGCTCAGTCCTGAATTCTCACACCAGACTGCGCGAGTATACGATTTGACTCATAATTACTAGCTTTAACTTGAAAGCTCAACTAGATAGATGGTTGCTATTCTTGGGAAAGTTGATCAGATTTATATGACCTATTGTATGGTGATCAGTTTGGTTGAAAATTTCTTCACCAGGCAGTACTAATGAACGAAGTGACGTCCCAACTGAAACTTCGCTTTCATTTCATCTGCTGTTTTGAGACTGCCGTCGTTACTTGTGAAATGAAGATTACACAAATGTAACATGTTGGATTTTAACGTACTGATTTGTTAGTATACGATTTGCAACTTTCATGGCACACATCAGCGAAAGAAATCCGGACAGAGACTTATTAAAATGGAACCATATGTTTGCAAATTTAAATACAGTCCAATGCCTTGTGTAAACGAGACTATCAGTTCAAACTCACTAAAATATATGTCAATATGAAAAAAAAATTTACTCTCAATGTATTGAATTACAGCATTCACTATTTGATGGATTTTTGTTTGAATACAGATAAAAGACAAGCGCAAATAAAATTCAGTTTATCTGACATAATTCTGCAACATCAAAATGTAATAATATAGTGTGACGTACTTTGAAGTATTTTAACCGGTGGTTTTATATGAAATGTATATTAAACACTGAATTTTCACTCCTGTTACTGTAGCTAAACACTATTCAGTAGGTGCCTGAAAATTGGTTGTGTATGTTTGGAACCTAATTTTGAATGAAATAGGAACTGAATTTTGAAATATTAAAATTGAGTTCAATTAAGGATATTGAATATCGCCTAATTTCAAAACTTTGACTTGAATGTTTGTTTATTTTAGAATAAAATTTATTAATAAATAGCTTTGTAATTATTATAAAATTGAGCAAAAAATACAATCTCGTAGACCTACGTCAAAGTTTTGCGGTCGTGCTTGTAACACAACCCTTAGTTGTTTAAATACCGTAATTAAAATTCAGACGCCTGCAATTTGAGTGAGTTAATAATTATCATTTCCAGTAATAAACAATCTTTTTAATGATTGATTTCCAATCAAATTCACCAAGATAACAACTTTTCCATGCGTAAATGATAACGGATCAATTGTGACAAATTGTAACAAAACGGGCTACGTCTGATTGACGTCAATAAATAAATAAAGATCTGTCCTAGCCAAGTTTATCGATATCTATTTTGAAATTGAACCTCGTAAGCTTGACGGTGGCAAACAGTAACCCACTTATGAGCATCTTCCTTTTCGCTTGTGTGTAGATGCTAATGCATCTACGATATTTTTATCTTCCCTTCCGCTTCCCGCTCGATCGTAACGACTTCTAAAAGCACACTCAATGCCGTGATAAAAAATATCGCTGGAACGCGAAGCACAAAGAGCCAGTATCCATGTGATGCGCAATGTGCCAAATTGTCGGTGTCGGTTTATAATTTATTGTTGTTCGATACACCTATAGGAAACGTCGTTCTTCATGGCGGTGCAGCGCTTTTCCTTACCATCAACAGTGGTCCCATTTTGGACTATATGATAAGTAGCATATTGTTCACTTTTGTTGTCTGCACCGGGCTTCATTAGCGTAAACAACAGGTAATATAATTGAACGACGTTCAGCAGTTCGCCTCCCCCTCATGTACCCAAATGTCAGAATTCCGACAACGAAACATTTTCATTAGCCGACCGTTTCGGCAGTGGCGGGGAGGTGCTGAAGAGTTAGTCGGGATCGTCTTTGTTCGAAATTCAGGTTTGATTTTGATTAATCGTTTCCCTGCAGATATATAATATTGATCACTTGAAAACAAAGCGCAACGCTCCGAAGTCAACAAGTTTGGACAACGCACGCCACAACCGTAAATCACACGCCCGTCTCGAGATGAGCTATTCGGAAAGTGATCCATCTTCCGGTGTGATCGACAGTGTTGGTAACCAAATTTCTATTATCCACTGCAGGATGATTGGAACTGTGCTATATGGAGACAAATCAACCCTGCTGGCTGTGCTTATGAATACAGTTGTTTCATTCGAACCGGTTCTTGGTGGTTTCTTTGCAATTTGCTGCCCTCGACATCCAGCTCGAGCAACAACGTTTCATTTCAATACATTCCCCCTTGCATTCCTACGCTCGGTCGATTGACGAACGAAAAACCTGCTGGAACAATGTCGTCAACAGGAATTTTTATCCGTGAATTCTTCCTTTACCATCGCCTCCTAGCTACGACACCGCTTTCCTCGCGACGATTTTTGCATTTTACAATATTAGCTAATTAAACTTTGTTCACGTCGGAATGCGTTGGAAATTTTTACTAATTACAACCAAATGAACAGCTTGTACCCTTTCACACACCCGCCGCACCACCCCTCGCCCCCTCACATGACAGGTTGGATGAAGGCAGCAGCAACAACAGCACCTTTGACAAGCGACCTCACACCTGTTGAGCTGTCGGTCGAATAGAATTGTTTTTAAATAAATTGCATGCAATTAAGGCCGTCGCTGCGTGATAATGGATGATAATATCTGTGGCGAGCTTTCGCCCGCCATCGTCACCGTCGTCGTTGTTGGTCGGTTCGACGGTGACGCTTGCTGCACATTTCGTGTTTGCAATCACAAACCGACGAAAGTGAAAGGGGATATGCATGCCGGTATGGCAATTTAGATAGTTTTCGAGAATGTAATTTACTACTTACACATTTCCTCTCCCAGCACCCAGACTTCGGGTGGTGAGTTCACCTCGACCAGAACGGTGGGCGTGCAGACGAGCAGCACCAGGAGATCGGCGATGCTTAGGTTGGTTAGGAAGATGTTGGTCGAGTTGCGCATATCTTTTGTCTTGAGGATGACGATCGGGACCTGGCGGGGAAATGAGCGAAAAAAGTGAATCTTTAGCACAAATATATACAATAATGTCTAAGTGAAATACACTCAATTCCTAGGGGCAGCTCGCTCTAAACTTAGTATTTCTCGCGTTGTACATAAAAAGTTCATACTGATATGTAAGATACCTAAAAATACTTAAAAATACTTAAGAAATATTAAGCGTTAGATTGTTACCATCGTTCCTAGACAAACTCAATTTGTTTGTTTAGCTTTTGTACGTCGTTTTGTGTGAAAATTTTGAACAAATGTAAAGTGATGATGACTCTTTTTTTTTCAAAAACTAATTGAATGATGCCGCGGAGAATGCACTTTCAAATATTCTACGCCTTAGTTGTATCACTTACCGTTATCCGTTTATCATGTTACAGAAATCAGTTTAACTGATAGTCATGAAAATCTTCCACCCATTGCTCGTTTATTGGGATTGGATCGTTGTGTTTATTCCATCCATTAGGATCTTGGCTATGTGATGATAACTAAAGTCATTTATGCCGCGGATACACTTGTATGACAAACTATGAACATGTTAATTATTTGTATAATAAATTATGAGCACATCTCTGGTCACACTTGTATAATTTTTGTATATGTATTTGTTGTATAGTGCTCATAATTATTACACAAGTAATGCTCATGCTCATAGTTTGTCAGCCAAGTGTATCCGCGGCATTAGGCTGATCGTAGCTGAATTAAGACTTTCTACACCATCCACACCGTACTTTTAGCGTTAATCAAGAAGTGGACAACAATTCCTCGGATTCAAATCGAAATGAATTACCCTGTTTTGTTACTGTTGGAAACGATTTAACCTTGATTCTAAAAGCCCTTGGTTTTCAGACCAAGGGTTCTGGGTATACCAATAAGCGAAAATAGGATCAGCGAGCTTATGAGTCAGTGGACGTCCGTGGTCTGAAAAACTCAAGTTATCAGAAACGGTTGTGATATTTTAAAACATCAATATGAACTTTTTTGAGAATTGTTTGGAATAAATTTAATATAAATAACTTTTGATTGTTTTTGGGGAAATGTGATCAACAAGCTTTTGAAATAAAGCCTTTAAGGATGTGAGCTAAATAAATTTACATTTCAGAATATTAACCTTTTCGCTCTCCGTACCATACGTGTCATATGTTTGCCACTATAGAACATGGTCACAATCCGAGTGTTTTTGTTATTATTAATCATCAGCTTCCTGACCTTGGTGGATTTGAACTCAAGACTTTGGTGAGAGGTATGGATCCAAATATTTGTGGTTTACAACCTAATCAAGGTATTCTACGGTGTTTTGACTAATCGTATGTACCTAATCTAAATCTCTGGACCAATCATCTCATGGTTTATTTAGTTCGTTGATTGAATCCGGTGTAAAACATGTACATGCTTAGTAGACTGATGCTAAATTTGAAATTTCCGCTCCACAGTGCACAGTGGTCCAGAATGCAGATTTAGGTGGAATGATATGTTTTGAGCCTGAAATTTAAACTTTAGACTAAAAGTCTCTTGTACAAAGTTGTTCCTTATAGTTACACCCTCATTTTTATGACAATGAATTCTAGGGTGGTTCCTATTATCATTAAAATCAAAAATCTAACTTTTTTGTTTGAATAAATTAAGGTATACATTTTTCGGCAAAGTTATAGCTGAGCTAATTTTAAGCAACTTTGTTAGGAATAACTTTTTTGTATCTCTTAAATTGGCCGATTAAGAGCTATTTTCTTGAATAAAGTTAGGGTGGCTCTTTAAAAAACAGTTGTTTTGCTCTAGTTTTCTTAATTCGAATTTCTCAGCAAAGGTGTCTTTGAATAACTTTTAGATCTTAAAAAGGAGCAAATTTTTGCTGTACAGAGCTTGTCAACTTTCGCCGATCAAGAGTTATGGACGTTTTTATACTAAAAATATGCACTTTTCAAATGTTAATATCTCTGGTTGGGGCAAACAAAAAAAAAATTTTTACGGCATTTGAAAGGGCGTATGTTATTCTCAATAATATGAAAAAATTGGAGGTATGTTATTTTTTTAACTCGTATAAAATCAATTTGAATTTATTCATCTTTTTTACTATATTTAGGTATATCTTTTTTATAATAAGAGATGCAAGCAACAAACTCAGCTATAAAACATTCGTCTTAAAGAGTTTTAAAAGTCTCTAGAAGATAACTTTCATGAGAAATTTCAAATAAAAACGTTAGTGCTAAAAAACTATTTTTTCCAGGAACACCCTAAGTCAACTCCGAAAAATCACTCTAAAATTAGAACGTTAAGAGATAGAAAAATTTTTTCTTCGACAAAGATGCTTGCAATAAACTTAGCTACAACTTTTTTAAACAACACATGTTTTTATTTTGTAAAACATAAAAGTTAGTTTTAAAAAATACCTAATTTGAGGACCTCCATGACGTTTGCAAACACCAAAAGAAGGGAATTTTTAAGAACAAAAACTTTTTCGAAGACACTAAATGTCCAAATATTGAAACAAATGTACTACCTCATTTTATTTAAATTTGTCATTAGAGTGGTCCTATGAAATCCATCTTTTGCCAATAACTTTTTTATTTGAAATTTATCGTGAAAGTCATCTTCTAGAGACTTTCTAAACTCTTTAAGACGAGTGTTTTATAGCTGAATTTGTTGCCTGTACCTCAAATTATTTTTTTCAAATTATTGAGAATAACATACGCCGTTTCAAATGCCGTAATAAAACTTTTTTTTTGTTTGCCCCAACCAGAGATAGTAACATTTGAAAAGTGCATATTTTTAGTATAAAAACGTCAATAACTCTTGATCGGCGAAAGATACTGACAAACTATGTGCAGCAAAAATTTGCGCCTTCTTAAAATCTAAATTTTATTTGAAGACACCTTTGCTGAGAAATTCGAAATAAGAAAACTAGAGCAAAACAACTGTTTTTTTAAAGTGAGCCACCCTAACTCAATTCAAGAAAATAGCTCTAAATCGGCCAATTTAAGAGATACAAAAAAGTTATTTTGAACAAAGTTGCTTAAAACTAGCTCAGCTATAACTTTGCCGAAAAATATATACCTTAATTTATTCAAACAAAAAAGTTAGATTTTTTGTTTTAGTGATCATAGGAACCACCCTAGAATTCATTGTCATAAAAATGAGGGCCTAGCTATAAGGAAAAACTTTGTAGAAGAAACTTTCATTCTAAAGTTTCAATTTCAGGCTCAAAACATATCATTCCACCTAAATCTGCATTCTGGACCACTGTGCAGTGCTCAAACGGTTCCAAATAGGGCCCTGATTAGCCTCTCAAAATTTGAACTCATTTAGTGAGAAACTGACTTGGCACAAACCATTTGAAGTTTATATGGGAATTACTATGAAGAAATCATAATTTCGGTTCATATCTATCTCAAAATTCACCAGTTCACTCTACTTTAGAAAATGATAGCTGAGCTTGTTGAAAACTTTCCCAACTACAACATTGTTCAAGACCGCTTTTCGATCAAATGTAAGGAACAAAAATTATTAATGATTCAAGTCACTGATGTCTTATGATTATGCTCAATCACCTGTTCAACAGGCAACATTGGTGTTTATGGCGCGTAGAATAGAGGACAAAAATCATGGCTACTCTGTCACATTGCAGAATACAGTGTTGCCCACAATACAGTTGCTTAATCTTGCCATAAGATTATCAATCTCTTAAAAAATTAATAACTATTTAATTTGACGTTTGGCAGAAAAATGATTTTCTGCAAAGTTGTAGCTGATAAAAATTCCCATAATAATAGCAATAAAATTTCACAGCAAAAAATAAATTTTAATATTACATCCAAGAGGATGCACTTCAATCATGTCGAAAATCTCATGTAATTTTTATGGCCACACAAATAAACGAATGCAGTAAAAGCAACGTAATGTCCCCCTTTTTGGCCCCACGTGGACCATTAACTCAAATGAGGATCGGTAGCAGCTAAGGTGCTAACTTCCAATGTTCGCGGAGCTACAATTCCAACACCATCGTTTGAGATGCTTTGTCAATAGAAAGCATAGAACCACCTAACATATGTGGAATTTCAAACTACTTCTTCTTCTTTTTTGTATATCAAGCTTATTACTTAGGGGCTGTCCATAAACTACGTAGACACTTTGGGGGGAGGGAGGGGTTCCAAAAATGTCTACGTTTGTCTACGGGGGGGGGGGAGGGGTGAAGGTCCTGTCTACGTGGTTTTATTAGAACAGTTTTTTTTTATGTATTTAGCCGCTTACTATTGTGATGCTTCCATCTACAAATTTATTCCGAATAGAACATTTTCATTGAGAGACCAAGAACAAAACCACAAAATATCCCAATCATTGAACATTATGAGGAAACATAACCCACAGGAATAAACAGTTGAATTGCATAAAATTTGGTGTGCTGACCGAATTATTGGCCTTTTTGGACTATTGATTAGTTGTTAAGTCTATGAAATTCAAATGACCACTATCTGGAGTATTATGCAGTTAGAATAAAATATAAGGTCAGCAGCGAAATGCTATTCCAATTCATCTAAAAGGATTCCATTTCGCTTAGTGCAAACGGTTGAAGGCCGGCGCACAATGCATAAAGTGTCACGCACATTTGATCCGGTTGTAATACGTTCCTGCAAAATAAAAGCTCAATCTATTATCTAACTATCAAATTTGCATCAACGCTTCGCAAACGAAACAAATGTGCGTGAGCCTTAAGTAAGATTTGACAAATTAGCTGGATATTCAAATTATTTGGCAGTATCATTTAAGGAGAGACCCAAGAAGAGTTGGAGATAAGTGGAAATAGTTTGTGGATACCACCGCTATTCGCATAACAGTTCCATGTATATAGGAAATCCACAGGACAGAGTAATACGAATAGATATTCTCTCTTTTTTACACAAAATTTAAAAAAATCAGCAATTTTTTTTTTTGGTTTTGAATTATATTTTTGGAAGTTATTAAGTTTTGGGTTTTTACTCAATACTCCTTAG